TCACTTTTTTTCTTGGTCTTGGACCTTCGGTTAGTTATCCTCTTTTTTTTCTACCTTGTTTAGTCTCTCCTTGCCTGTGCTACGAGGTTTCTTTAGCTACGTAAGGATCCATTTGCCCCTTGATTTTTATTATTGACATGGTTTCCCCCAGGTCTCCAGAACTCAAACAGTTCTCCTTTCTGCCACATATGGGCACACTAAGTACTTGTATTGAGAATCTTCTATCCATGGAGAGTGCACTATTCCGAAGTCAGTCACTTCCTGACCAGGAAGGGACTCGGGGTTAGAATCCAGATTTATCTCCTGGATAATTTTTTAGGGTCAAACTCTGACCCTGGGGCTTAGGACTTAAGTGGACACAAACTTTCCAGGAGCATGAATTCTCTCTTTAGAAAACCACTTTCATCAAAAGCATCAAAGAAATTCTCCTTCAGAACACAGCACTAGAAATAGTTCCCGAGAGAGATCTCCATCTCCAACTTCTTAAAGACCCCTCTCAATCAGGCAGCTTGACAGGCAGCTTTCCCTAGATGTGCTTGTACAGGGTCACCAGCATTGGCCTTGTTCAGGAAATGATTCCCAGTGCCAGGCCTGTTGGCACTCAGTTGCAGTCTTTTCACCAGATACCTCTTTTGACTGTGGCTGTGGTTCTCGGTGTGTTTATCTTTTTTCTTTGGAGCCTTGGATCTCCAAACTGTTACCTCAGACTTCCTGAGTTCCAATTCAGTGGTCTCAGAGATGTTTCTCTAACATTTCTATTCTATGCTTTTGGCCATGAGCCCCATGTACAGAGAGACTCCACAATGACAAGTCTTACTATCTATGATTGTGTTCATCTGCTTCAGCATCACAGGCTGCCCTTGCTCAGTCTTCAGATCCTACTTTCCCAGAATGCAAGGAATCTCTAGATCCATCTCTAGGATATGTGTGTGGAGGGGGGAAATGCCTCATCCTAACCCACCCGTCTCCTTCCCTCATGAAGCAGTTGTCCTTCCTTTACCATCACAGATAGACATTTTAGGTCTTCAAAGACATCGTGAAACTGGTGACTCAGGCTTCTGCAAATTCCTGTGCAGGGGATTGAAAAGCCTACAGATGCACAGATATCTTAACAGTACTCTGCATCTAGCAAAGTAGTTTTCCTTATCAGTGAGGCTATAAGGGACCCTGCAAAAATTTTTGGAGGAACACTTAGCTGTTTGGAAGGTTGACAAGCAGATATAAAGTACCTTCCAAGGGTGCAGATATTTCCTGTGTAGACTCATACCTTACTCATTGGTGGTCAGTGAAGCCAATTAGAAAACTGAAAAGTTTCATAGAATCTCGAAAGAGAAAATCTGAATAGACTGCCCTTGCTGAGAAAGAAGGCGGTACTCTTTTAACCTTTAATTTGAAAGGCCAATTACTAGGTCAGTAATGGCTCAGTACAATTTTAGAATCTGTGAGTGCCTGCTATCCTTTACTGATCAAACTCTAGTAGACTCACAAGAAGCATTTGCTGCCCTACTTGAGGAGAGGCACTTAGTGGCCAAAAACCTCACTTCAACAGACTCTCAGTGCATCAGATATTTCTCAGTTGAAGGTCAAAGCTGTGTTTTATGAGATTCTCATCTTTGCTTTAAGGCTCTGAGTGTCCTGGATAGGGACAGAGTATGACAGAGAATTTTCCCTTTGGGCATGTATTCCATCTTTGAAACAGGAATACTTTTGAAGTTTCCAGAGTCGCCTTATGCCCTCTACATGTTTATTCACCCGCTCTGAAGAGGAGATATAAAAACAAGGCACATGCTAGCCAGGGACTACCAGAGACACCATCTTCCTCTCTGCTTTTCATGTACTGTCCTCCAAGACCCCAAAGAAGCACCAGTACTTTTACAAAAAGATAGCAACCTTCCACTGCAGGCCTTTTGACTTATCAACTTCTCAAACAGTAGAAGAACCTTTTGATGGGATGGTTGAAAGATGCTATCCACTTCAAGATACCAGCTTCCCCTTCCTTACCCTTTAGGTCTTTTTCATCTTCTTTATGATAGGTGTGGAGGCATATCACAACAAACCAATGGATCTAGGCACCGTCACAGCTGACTGTACTGTCCAGTTCAGGGTACTGCCTACTTCCAGTCCCCATATTCCATACCCCTTTTGAGAAACCCTTATCACAAGATGTTGCTTAGACAGGAGGTGTCTTCCCTTACAGTATCGGGATACATAAAGGAAAGCTTTTCTGCAGTATGTCAAAGGGGTTTTATAACAGTAGCTTCCTAGTCCAAAAAGAAGGGGAGGACTGTATCTCTTTTTGGACTTAAGGAAGTTCAGTTCCTTTCTTTAAAAGCTCACAGTTAAGATAATCACATAACCCATTGTAGTACCAACCTTTTGGTGCAAGAGGTCACGTGATTCTAGAGAAAGGTCTTTTTATCAGCTCACTTTGAGTATTTATTCAAGTTTGTTATAGAATGTAACTTTAGTCATCAGATTCCTCTATCAATCTTCTTTCCAAACCACATTCTTTGAGATGTGAAGCATCACTACACAAGCTGGATGTGAAGCAAAGCTTATTCTTTTACCAGCACAAAAGTAAACCTGTCCAGAAATCCCCATAGCTATTTGTTTCCACAACCAAAAGGTCAAAAGAAGCAACACTTTTGTCCTTAATATGTGTCTAAACAGATAGCAGGGTGTGCTGAAATATTACTAAGATGGAACCATTGATGGTAGTATTCAAGCTGATCAGAGCCTAAGTGACTGGTGACTTTCCTATAGAACATCTCTATTCCTGACATTTGCTCCAGGAAGACACCTGAAGCTCTGTACTCATCTTTATCAAGCATTAGGTCATCACAGAGGCTTCCACTAGTCAGTAAAATGTATATCTATATCTATACACACACAGGGGCAACAAGTAAGGGCTGCATGTGCACCCCCTGAGCATGGTGGTGCATCCCCTACAAAAAGGGGGTGCACCGCCACCCTCTCTCCTGCCGCCACTAGCGCTGGTGGTGTCTGCGGGAGCTCCTGCTTACTGCCGCCACACTCCCGCTGCTGCCATGCAGCCCAGCCTCCAGGGCACGTGCTGTACACTCCCCCCCGGGTATTCATATATAATCTAAAAAGGAGAACTGTTTAAACTGGATCTTGAAATCAATGGAAGCATTTAGTGGATTTCAAGGATTGGGGGCTGATGGTCTTATTTAATTATACATAAGAAAAACAACATTCAACAAATGCTGTAGTTGCCTTGTATAACTCATCTATACTGCTAGACATGTTGCACTTGTTGACATTTTCTTTTTGTACATTAAAAGACACGGTGTTACTAAGATTTTAAGCTCTTTGGGCCAAGGACAGTCTTGGCATGTATGTGTGCGAGCATATACACAGTACTTGGCACACTAGAAAACTTAATCTGTGGCCTCCATTCACTACTGCAGTATAAATAATTATAATATTGCTTCTTGAGTTGCCATCTAAGTATCTGCTCAATTGTCCCTTTGCCATTACAAGGGGGGGGAGGGGGGGGTTGTCTGTTAGGTGATTGAGATATGATTCCTAAATATATTTCTTAACTATATGCTTTAGAGAAACTGCATTCTTTATTGTTTTTGCTTCGTGCAGAAATAAAAAACAACCCTGAGTATGGATTTATTGGCTTTGGTAACAGTTGCAACCCATAGAGAATGTTTTATTTAATTTTTGCTCATCCAGCGAGGTGTATATTTTCCTTGTTAGTGCTGACCTTAGAACAATTTTTCATGCATTTGCCATAATACATTCTGTACTACTATAAAATTAGGTGACCCTGAAAAACTGGAAGGGAGATTTGTCTGATACAGAACGCAGCCTTTCAGGGCAGGTTGCATTAAGCAAGTAACATCTGTGCTCTGAAATATCCAGCTTTACCTTTGGGGTGTTGGGTTCACTGTTTAAAACCTTGGTCTCTAACACAGCTAGAATGCTCTTGTCAGTCTGGTGATCTGAATTCCCTAGGACTGGCAGGAAAGTTTTCTTAGTTGAGGGTGAAGTTTGTACACCCTTCAAGGCCTGATGTTATTTGACTCAGAAGTTTATTATTTTATTTGGCTTATGGGTTTTTGCTTAATTTTGGTTTGTATTTCAAATTGGCATCTTAGCAGTAAGGATCATGGTGCCTATTATTGGTAGCTTTATAGATTATGAATGAACTAAAAGGACCTGATGCAGGAAACTGAAATGTATATCACCTGTGCCAGTGCTGCAGAAAGCACTCTTAAGAAAGCACAAGGAGTAAAGAAGTTCTCACCTGCCTCTCAGCAAGTAATGGGTGGGCAACCTTAGGGGACCTCCAAAGGACGCTGGCTGAATGAAGGTGGCTACTCCATACAAGTTCATACACCATTTACTCAGGCCGTGCCCTTCCTTGGATCATGCTGCATACTTGTTTTTAGTTGTTCTTGTTACAGGGTAGATTTGAACTATTAGTCTAGAAACAAAATCCTGTATGTATTATTATTGATTCCAGGCCCAAATATTTCTAAGGCAGTAAGTAAATTATCAGTAGGTAACTTATTTCAAATAGAAACATGGAATTTTGAGTATTTATCAAATACAACCATTTGTCTAATGTCTACCTTTACATGAGTACACATAGATGTAAAAACTGCCATTGCAAGTTTGCTGATTAATATTTTCACTAAATCTATTTTACTTTTTAATGGTGAAACAATAAAATTAGAAACTAATTCCATTTTTAATAATAATTGCTGTGATCAGGAAGTAGATTCATTTTTTATGGAAGCTCAAGGATGCTATTTGTCAAGAGTTGTGTTGTTCTTATTTTTTGCTATTATAGCAGCTGTGCTGACTGTATAGTTTACTGACACACACACTCAGGCACAAGTATTTACATATGTGCTGTACGTTCACATTGGCGCAAAATGATTTTTAGTATTTTTGACTTTAGAGAAGGGCTGAAAGCATTGATTAAATTTCTATGTGTTTTTTTTTCTTGTTCTGTTTCTCAGAGTACCCGAGTGGCCTTAGACCATCTGGAGTCTGTTCCCGAGAAACTCAGCCTTTTAGAAGATTTCAAAGATTTTGGAGTGAGAAAATTTTGACTTGTCTCTCTCTGTAGTTCTGAATTATTGAGGGCAATTGACATCCTCCTGACATGCAAGGAGAAATCAGCTACTAGGGCAGATGTGATGAAATCCAAACTGTAGTATTCTAGTTCTTACTCTTATAGTTTTAGTAGGTTTTATTTTCCTACTCTTGGGGAATTAGTTTAGCTTTATACTGCAAAGGAAATGCTAGAGTTCTACACTGTAAAGCCTTCAGTTTAAGCAAACATACATACGTGAGTGTAATATTTCTGGTCCTTGTATTCCACCAACTGTTCAAAATACTTTTTTAACATGCTTTTGATCAGTGATGGTGGTTTCTGAAATGAATCATGTTAATCGTTAAAAAGAGGCAAGTTATTGTTTGTTTTATAGAGACTTAACATCACATACCTCTCCCTGCAGTGTTGTACAAAATAAGGTCTGCTGATATGGGCTGTGAATCCACAGTACTCATTTATTGATAAGACTCTGAAAACTGTGTAATCAACAAGAAAGCTATTTGAGTCTCAAGCTCATTCATTATATTGGGTAAACACACTTTCATGTATAAGAAAAAAACATGCAGAAGGTTCAGTATGCAAAATGGATAAATACGGTATCGCTGCTTTCTATAAATGTAAACTCCTACTTTTCTTGCAACAACTTCATGTAATAAGGCCTTCTACAGAAAGCTTCAATAGGTGATGCAGGTCTTTTATAGTCTGTGTAACAAATTTTTCAAATAAGAATTTAATCACGAGGCCCCAGTTCAGCAAAACACTTCATATTCTGTTGAAGCATTTGCTTAAGTTCCAATAAAAGGTAACTATTTTACTCGGTATGGATGGATTAAAGTATTTGATTAAAATTAAACATATGTTGAAGTGTTTTGCTGCTTCCTGGCCCAACAGAATGAATTGAGTGCTCCCAGCCTCATCCTTAGAACATTCACCTTTCTGCTATTGCCTTTTGCCACTAAGTTGTGCTACCAAGGCTAGGGATGGAAGTTAGACATAAACTGGTATAAGTGATCGGAAACTAGTTCAAATCTGAAACACCACAGAAGTTCAGTGCACATAAACTGCTTTCAAAGTGGCCAAAACCAGTTTAAAATAAACCTGGATGGATGCAGTATCAGAGAACTGATTTAGATTAAACTGGTGTATTGAACTTCTGTGCCAGATCCAGAAGAGATTGTTGCAGATGATTAAGAGAATTATAGTAGTAATGTGATAAATTTACCATTCTCATATTGATACTCTGAGTTCAGAACTATTCTTTTGAAAAAGGCAAGGAGGATTTCACTTACAATTTGTATAATTTCTCAGACTCTCAAACACAATGCCTTAAAGCACCTAACAGAGGCTGTTGCCAGCTGTTATATGTAGCACTACAAGTGCCCTCAGCATTTTGTAGTGCTATAAAAATAGAACATTATAAGGGGCATGCATATGTGCACCACAAAGTTGCTGCAGTGCTATGCTCTCCAGCCATGGGATGATAGAAGGCTGCAACATGTCCCTCAGGGATCCAAGCAGTGAACCCCATCACTGACAGCCTGCTCTCCCCTCCAGCATGAATGGGGATCACTGGGCAGTCAGTCAACTTCCTATGGAGGACAATGAGCTATCAAAACATAATGCTACAGGGAAATTGCTGTTTGAAACAGAATCACTTCTATAGTGCCTCTGACATTATTGTAGTGCTCGTGCCTTTTTTGTAGCTCTAGGGGCGGAGGGTGGGGCTTAACTTTTTGTTGTGCTACTGAGGCACTTTTAGCACTACAAATGTAATATATGTTCACAGTCGCATGATATCCCTAAAGGAAAGAAAGAAGAGGGGTTTGAAATTATATTCAAAGGTCAAAAACCAGTTCATAGTTGATTGGGTGCAGAGTACAACGTGAAAAAAACAAAACAAAAAACAAAACAGCGCTTTACCACAAGAGGAAGTGTGTTAGTTTGACCTGGCTCCCCAGCATCTGTGTAGATTGAACACTTCAGTGGGGCTTTTTGGCACTTTTATCTAAAAGCTGATTCAATCATCTATTCGATAAAAGTGCTGCTGAAGCACCCGATCTATACAGACGTTGGGTGAGCCGGGTCAAAGAAACTCTTATGGACATGCACTGTGCTCAGTGTGGGGGTGCACCAAACTGAAAATAAATTGCCATTTTTTTAGGTGGGGGGGAGGAGGTTCATGTCTGTAAGCAGCTGTAGTGCTTATATATTTACTCTCCATATACCTTGAGTGACATATTTTGGAATGAAAAGCCCTTGTTGTCTTGTTTTGCCTGTAAAGTGTTAGGCATGTGTATAGCAGCACAGAGGTAAAAATGGATTACTAGAGTGCTCATGCAGGCATTCCCCATGCTGCTGATTTGCAGTGTGGAGGGTTGCTCTGTTTTAATCATTTTCAATAAAACTCATTTAAAGCACTGCAATTAAATGCATTCATCCTAGTTCTTAAAATACTTTCCTATTGCATCCAAAGTAGTAAGAGGAAATAGCTGAGCCTTACAGGAAATCTGTTTATATGGCTTCTATACTACTTTTACCTAATGTCAACAAGAATGGCTTTTTTTTCCCTGCAGTAGCACTGCCAAATCAAGATATATGGTAATTTTGACTTTTTGGAGCAAGTTGACAGCCTTAAGGGGGAGACTGTTAAGGCTGGTAAACCTAAAATTAGATCTTCTGAGGCCTAATAGATCAATTACAATGCTGTAATTCTTTTACATTCATGAGAATTAGGAAATTCTGTTCCTGGAATCAGTTGTTTTCTAAAGGAGAGTTGGGAACCCAGTAACTCAAAAATAAATAAATAAATAAAAAGCAAAAAATACCCCCTTTAAATCAGAACTATTTAACTTGGCATTAGGGAAAATACATAATGATTTGCATTTGTTTTTCATATAGAATCTTTCATCTTAAGGAATTCACAGGCATTTAAAAGACGTATATGGCTAGGACTATATTCTTGTTGTTGTAGAATTTATCTTTGTTTTACATAGTGTATTTGTTGTTTTCATAATGTACAACTTATCAGAATAGCTTCAATTAAGTAAAATTTTGATGAAAGAGAGTTGTTACATCATGTTCCATTTTAGGCTTCATCAATATTTTTTTCTGAGTTTTAGAGAGAGGCTGCCTTCCACACTGTTGTGCCCAGTAGTAGAACATAGGTTTGGGATGTGAAAAACCTGGGTTCAGGTCTCTGCTTTTCCTACATTGAAGTACTCTAGGCTGAGAAATTCTGTTCTGAACAAGTCAGAGGTTGGACTTGAAGCTAGGTCTCCTTGCATCTACAAGCAGTATCATAACCTCATGTTGCTCTCATACCTATTTATATGATTTTTACTAAAACATTCAAATGCTCTGCTTTTGTTTTGCTGGTTTAAGTTAAACCAGAGACCCCCAGCATCTTGGCATTCTCTCTGGGCTGGGCTCTCTGCTCCCCAGCCAGAGCAGAGAGAGGCAGGGGTGGAGGTCTGGCCAGGGAGGGGCTTAATTCCCCACTCTCTATCCCACCTGCAGGGACCCGAGCCGGGTCTGCCGGGCACTTCCTCCTTGCTGCTGCAGCAGCGGGGACCATGGCCCCTGAGGCAGAGGAGGACAGGGAGGAGGGTTAGTCTCCCCTCTGCCCCACTGGCAGCCAGGTCTGGCTGCCCCCGCCGCTGCACCCCCTGCTGCCCCTCTCTCCCCCTAGGGGCCTTGCCTGACCGTGCCCCCTTCCTCCTTTCTCCCCCGCTGCAGCGGGAGTGGACAGGGCCCTTGTTGGGGGCAGCACCTCCTGTCATAATGTGGGGGAGTGCGAACCCCTTCCTGGTGGGGGCACTTCTACGGGGCTGGCAGAACTGTGGCAGGCTACGTGCTGCAGCACCGGGGTCCGGAGTGGGCCAGAGCCCTGCAAGCCCCTCGCAGTGCTGCTGCACTCTGCAGCAGCTCTGCTGACCCTGCAGAGCAACCCCCACTGGGAAAGGGCTCGTGCTCTGGGAAGACATTTATGATTCTATGAAGACCTAACGGGCTGCTACCTGTCCTGGTCGCTCACTGCTCCAGCTGCTGGCATGGTGAGTGGTGAGTAACCGTGACAGGCAGCAGCCCATCATGGCTTCCCAGAGCGCGAGCCCCTTCCTGGCAGGGGCCTCTCTGCAGGGCAGGCAGGGCTGCTGTGGAGCGCGGCAGCGCTGTGGGGGGCTCGCAGGGCTCTGGCCCACTCCAGATCCTGGTGTTGCCACATGCAGCCTACTGCAGCTCTGCTGGCCCCACAGTGCAGCACCCCCACCAGGAAGGGGCTTGCGCTGTCCCACATTATGACAGGGGCTGCTGCCCCCAACAAGGGCCCTGCCCCCTCCCGCTGCAGTGGCAGGGTGGGGGCACGGTCAGATGCTGGCCAGCAGGGCGCCTTAGGGTGGGGGGCCAGGGACAGGGGTTCTTCCCTAGGGCTAGCAGAGGGCTTATTCCAGGACAGGGACTGCAGCAGCAACAGCAGGCAGACCTGCATGCCAGTGGGGGTGGAGGGCAGACTAACTCTCCTCCCTGCCCCTCTCTGCGTCAGGGGCCATGGTGCCCTGCTGCTGCAGCAGTGAGGGGGGAGCGCCCAGCAGACCCAGCTCGGGTCCCCACCGGTGGGAAAGAGAGGGAGGAATTAAATCGCTCTCTGGCCAGTTCACCCCAGACTGGTCACGCCTCCCCAGCACAGCTTCCCTGCAGCCCAGGGCATGCTCTAGCGCCCCCGGTGCCTGGCCTGAGCAACTGCAGGCATGTGCCTGCAAGGTCTCAGTCCAGAGACAATGTTTGCCCTGTTACAAACCGGTTCAGCCTAGGCAGGTTAAATTAACCTGCAAAGGTTGAATCAATTCAGGCTCTAACTTTTTGAATGTCTGTCCCTAGCCATACAGAACAAAAATTAATTTGGAAACCTTAAAAGTTGCTGCCAACAGGATTTCATTCTTCAGTCAGCTCAAGTTCTGATTTAACTTAAATGTATCAGATCAGAATCAGCATCCCACACTCTGCTTCATGCTCCAACGTTCTGACCATGAGCAAGAAACTTAGTTTGACTGTACATAGATCTCCTTTTTTGTGGAATGAGGGTAATACCTACTTCGAAGGGGTGCTGTGATGGGTTGATATCAAGTGAATCTAATATTAGGCTTGTTGGTATTTTGGGTATTTAAACACATCAGAACTGAAATGTAGCCATAGGTAGAGTTAGGGAACAAACATGCATGAAGTATTTTGCAGCGCTACAAAGAAAGGGACATTTTAGGAAGAATTCTAAACTTTTCTGAAAAGCAAAATAAACTATAATATCCATACAGAACAGACAGGACCTCCATTTTTAATATATTTTCTGTAAACTCCGGAAAATCGTTATCTGCTGTGGGAAACCAAGATGGAGCTAAATCTTCTTGCTAGTTATTTTATTCCTAGGGATTTTAGGACTTTTAGATTATAGGAGTGCTCTAATAACTGCTGTGGTAAAAATGGCATTATATGCTTCTGATTGTTCATTCTTTTTTATTGCATAACAAATTTGGTCAGTCACCATTCAAAAGGCTTGATTTTAACTGGGAACACTGAGAATTAAATCTGGAATCTGAAAGCAACACTGATTATTTCTACTTCTTATATCATAATCGCTTCAAAAAGTTCTGAAATATGATTTGTTAACTAAGTTCCTATCGTGAAGTTTGGACCAGAATAGAACTCATCTTTATTCTCCTGTAACCAGCATTCCCTCTAAGCTGCACAGTGTGTGCAGCCATGCAGGTGCACTCATGCCAAGCTGCCAGGCATGCCTGCATGACTGCATGTGCCACACAGCATAGAGGGAACGCTGCCTGTAACTACCATGACTAAAATGTTAGGGCAAAAGGTTGACTAGCTTGCTATGTGTGCATTTGTTGCATCATCATCGTTGTTGTTATTATTACTATTATTATTTTATTTTCAAAGTATTGTTTGCATGTATGTGGAGAACATCTTTTTCTTAATGCAGCTATAGGTAAATAAATTAAATTCTGTTTTCCCCATAAAGAAATGAACTAAATTGCTCTGTTAGTAGCCATGGCATAATTTATTTTGGGAAGATGTAAGAAATAGTTTATTTTAAACGATATTAATTAACAAGGAGGAAGACTGTTCTTAACATGAGTATTCTGTACTGAGCTGCTCTCTTTGATCAGCAGCAAGACAGCATGTTCCATGTATTTCTAGCTCCAAAAGCTAGTATTTACTCTTCTGAAAATCTATTAGTGATATTTTCATTTACAGTAGCAAACTAAGTTTCTTTCATTAGCTGTTTTTCACTTTGCAAAAAAATTCAGTCCTTTCATTGTGTTTCCAGGAAGCGTATCGCCAGAGAGAGATGATTGAAGAGAGATACACTAGATATAAAGAAATAGTGGGATCCCTACAGCAGCAGCTGGAAGACTCAAAAAAAAAGATCCAACGTTTCAAGGTATATGTCTGTCCTCTCTTTTGTTTTACTCCTGCTTTTATTCAGCCCATAGGATGAGCATGCTTTTTATGAAGATTGGCTCATATTGACTGAAATCTTACATGAACAGTGTTTCCGTTTCATTTATCATAGTTGGTGTATGAAACTTGTACCTACTTGACCTAGCCAGAATTTTTTGGTGAAATAGTGTCTTGTTGGATTTGTTAAAACTGGATTGTTTTACCGAAGTGTGTTCGGGTCAATTAAACTTTCAGGTTTCTCAGGCCCAGAGTTATCTGGGAGCAAGAAGGGTAGGAGGAAATAGGTAGAAATAGAGAGGGAAAAAAAGTGATCAAGTACAGACTCTGAATCAAAAGGAGTAGGGATCTGAACCCAGGTCTTCCACAACCTAGATGGGTCCCCTTGCTTCTAGAAGCTTTACAAAAGATGCTCATTGGGTGTGTCTACATGAAATGTTGACTGCGTAGTAACCAAAAAATACTACACAGTAGTGTGTCACAGTACGGACTGTGCTAACATGCTACTGTGCAGTATTATTAGTTTACTGCACAGTAGCACCACTTAAAAGATTTGCTGGCACTACTGCACAGTAATTTTGTTACCGCGCATGTATTTAGTACTTGCTAATACATTTTCTCTATTTACATCAGACTGCTTATTTATCATGTCATGCATTGGGTTACATAGCTAAAATCAGTTTCCTGTAATCAGATTCTGACAATTTCCTGTGTGACAGAAACAGGAAATAGATTCTATGAAAAGCTAAAATCGAATAAAAAGGCTTCTGCCAATATTCCTGCAGACCATCAAAGAGAAAGTGGTCAGACTTTAGTCAGGCTGCCAAGACTTTGTGGGTTCTTCTACTCCGTGCCTCAGCTGTGTTTAGGGTTTTTTAGTCCTATTTTTGGGTAGCTCTTGATATATGGTGTCTGCCTATTCTGCTCTTGTAAGCACGGAGTCATTGGTCTCTTTTCCCTGCAAGAGAAACATAGGAACAAAGCTGGCCAATGACTTCTAATACTCTGCTGCTGTACTTAAAAGCCAATGAGCATCCAAGTTCTCCTTTCCATAGAGAGTAACTAGCAAGAGGTATGCAAGGCAGCCTCTCTTTCAGTTCAAGTGCTAATTAGCCCTCTTCTTCCATTACTTCTCTTGCCCTGTGCAACAGTAACCATTACAGTACTTATCGGATTTTGGAAAACCTTGAAATGCTGAGTAAGGAAGGCCTGTATCAGCTGAGGGTGTAGCACAATATTGCGCTAAGCTGACGGAGCTTACTTTGCTGGCTTGATCTGAACTTTATATTAAGAATCCAATACAAGACTGATTCCAAAACAATATTGCCTCTCTCTTTAGACAACAGGGAGCATTTAATGGCTTCCCTTTAGTAAGGCCTAATTGGTTTTTTGCACGACATACAGGCCTGTCTGCTGTCACAGCTGTTTCAAATGGAACGGAATGTTCAGAAATAAGTAACAGAAGGTGCTAATCTGATTTCAGTGATCAGCCTGGCTTAGTCTAAGAAATCCCTCTTTATTGCTTGCCTTTCTCACCCTCTCATCTGCTTCGAATACACTATTGATTAATTCCTTTATTTTATTTTTACAATATGTCATTAGCTATTCTGTAAAGCTGAGTGATAGAAAGGTGTACTCTTTGGAAACATCAAAGTTGCCGGTTTCTGACAGTTTCAATTCACACTATATATAAAATAAAGTGCTTTTTTTTTATACATAGTAGCCAAGTACTTGGTAGGTGATTCAAGAAAGGGCCTGCTTATAAATACCTTCTGCAGAGCCTTGTACCAACTTCTTTCTCTCTCTTTTTCTCTCTTGCTCATTCTCTTGCTCTCTCACTTGCTTTCTCTCTCTCTCCCTCTCTCTCTCTCTTACTCTCTTGTCTCCTTACACACACCCTTTGCCTCAGCCCACCTCCTCCTGAATGATCTCCTCTAAGCCTTTCCACAAAACACATTTCCTTCAGCTGGCTTTCTTACAATAATCTCAAAAAATGCAATATCTGGTCTCACTTTGCATCTTGATTTTAAGCAAAAAAATAAAAAAGCAAAACGAGTGATCTCCTAAGAGCAGTTTTCCTCTTTCCTTATGCTTTTTATTTTCTTTCCTGATTCTTATCCCTCTTGTGCAATCTATCGTTTCATCTGTCGACTTTAGGCTCATTACAGGCTGTGAAAAACCTATTGCTTGGAAGCCCAGGATCAGCCATGAGTGCTATTGGGACAGGTAAAAGTGTCAGATTTCCCACAATAGGGAACACCGGTAGTGGGGTAGAGTGCTTTCAAGCACTACAATACTGACTTGTCAGTTAGGTGGGCACTGAGTGGTATTGGAGAGGAAAAACAGGGAATTAGTAAAGGCTTAGAACAAATACCACAATTACTCAGGTATAAGACAACCCTGATTATAAGATGACTTCCCAATAATTAGATTCCATATAAGGAAAATCTATACATTTGATATAATTTTCCGAGTATAGAATCTAATTAGTAGAGGTTTGTTTTGAATGTATCAGCCTCCCACTGTTATAGAAAGGAAACTACATCTGGGGGGTCAGGTAGTTCCTTTGCACTCTCCCCTCCCCTCCTCCCCCAACTTCTTCCTTCTGCAACCTCTTCCCTTTCCTTAGTGTCAGACCTTGCTCTTCCTGAGCACATGGAAAAAACTAACTGAAATAAACATAGCTGTAGTAATTTGCATAGACTTGTACCCATAGACTTTGTTCATGCATAAGTAATGCATTTTGCCTTTTTTTAAACTGCTGCAACTTTTAGCACAGGTACTCCCTAAACACAGTTTACAAGCAGCACTTTGTTACCTACTGAGAGAAAGTCCAAATTATGCATACTAGTCCAAAGCCAAAAGGGTCATGACTCGCCATATAGTTCATTGGGCTGGACCCCACCAGAGTCAACAGCATTTCAAGCCTGTTGGACCCCACAGTGTGTGTTTGTACTCTAGATATCCCCTACAAAGGAGCCATGTGCTAATTAACACTCACTCATGACTGGAACTGGGTGTTCTTTTCCCGAGTCCTGGGATCCTCCAAAAAAAGTATATGCAGATGAGGCATAGGTCAGCTTGGTCCAACTTGATTTCATGCAGAGCAGGGCCACACTAATCACAAGCAACAGTCTGAGAGAGGGGCCAACAGGATTCTGAGCAAGCTGTTTTGGGCTCCATTTCATGATATTTGCCAGGCATTTAAAGCTGGTGAAAAACAGGAATCATTGGAAATGGGAAAGAAAGGTGCAGCCCAGCTGTGGGAATGAAGAGGATGTTGAAATGAGTACAATGTAGTGGATCATCATGACTTGAAAAGACTTGTCGCTGAGGGGGTCTGTGCTTAAGGGGCTCTACCATATGTCTTACTCAGATGGGTTGCACTGAATATTTTATGTGGTTTCCTTGTATGCAAATGTAAGATAAGAGGCTTTTTCCCCTATGCTGTTTGGGGAGAAACTTGTCTTATATTTGAGTAAATACGGTAGTAATCAAACAAAATATAGGGAATTCAAATTAAATAAAAAGTGAAAAACAAGAAGCAATGTCTTGGTGTTGGATGTAACAGAAAGAGCTGAGCTTTTGAGAGAGACAAGATCACTACCATAAAATCTAAATGTACACAGATGTACATGCACGCGTGTGTGTGTGTGTGTGTGTACACAAAGTATGCGAGAAAAAATGCAGTACAGAAGAAGTCATGCCTGCCAATGGAAAGGGTTTTCATAATACTGAGATTGCAGGTAAGGTATACATACCAGCTAGGGCTTGTTTAACAGTTCTGTTCTAAGACTGCATTTCTGAAGGAATGAGGATCAAGAAAGAACAGATTGGAATTTAATGTGCAGAAGAAAAAATTGATGTTTTTCTTTTAGAAGTTTTTGCTGTAGGATGTACATTTTAGGTACCCAGTCGCTCATTGACTCGCAAGATTTATGTGTGTAATTCCTATTAATGTTAATAGGTGTAAACTCCTGTTCACTGATGGGACAAAAGCCCATTTTAGTTTCTAAATTAATGCTGGATTTTGTTTTGTTATCTGTTTAGTTTTCAAAATGTAATAGCAAGAATGATAAATTGCAGAATACTTTTAAGAAAATTCCCTGAGGCTGTTGTGAAGAAATTTAGTAACAAAGTACAGTATTCCATGAACAAATACATTTGAGTGTTATCATTCCTCTCATCTCAAGAAACGGAGTAATTTGGAAAAGAACCCAGGCTTTTAATCTTGTTTTGGAGGGCATTATAATTCAAGACTACTTGCTTTGATGCTAATACAGATCTCCAGATATTTTTGGCTAAATTGCCTTCTTTAAATGTTCTTCCTTTTCTAGCATATAGACCAAATGGTTTTGCACAACAAATAAATTTGCTGTATGTGCACATCCTAATGCTATTTGCAGTATAACTTAGAATATTATATTTGTGGGGGAGGGAGTTGCATATTTTCAAATTGGGAAGAAAAATGGAAATCCTGTTTCAGGTTTTATAGATGATGTCAAACTTGTATTTAAAATGTAAAGGTTTGGAGTTCACTTTTTGAAAGGCAGAAAGAGAACTGAGTTTTTCAATAAGATTTTTTGCTGGAGAAAATTGATGTCGCTCATTCAGGAGCTGAATCATAAGGGCATATTCTGTCTTCCAGCTTCACTTTGGGGCTTGGATCTTATATAAATGGGAAAGGGAGCGCTCTGCATTTATATAGCCAGTTACAGTAAGAAGAAACTGCAAAGTTCTCAAGCTAGGCAGACAAGGTGGGTTCTTTCCAGGGATCTTGACGATTGACAAAAACATGAAATTCAGGAGGAATTTAAAATCAGATTTAAAAGTAACTGCAAGAATAATATTCTGGGGGGGTGAAATTGGGGTTTATCAAGTTTAACAAAAAAATACTGTGCGCGTGTAATCAGAGCTAAAGCTGTATTTAATCTCAGTGGATAAAGGAATATGTAATTTAACTAATGCAGATATTTTACATAAAACTTTGTCATTCCTTGTTACAGGAGGAGGAAACACATGATGATATTTCTGACATACAAGCAGCAGCCCTATCGTCCACCTGGCGACCTAAAACCAGCTTTATGTCGAGCTTACCACTTTCAGATTCAGGTTGTAAGTATTATGTAACAAAAAATCTCCACAATTAGTTATTCTTTTCCTTTAAAGCAAAGTTACATAAATATTATTATAAAGAAATGATAGAAGTCCTGCTGGTTTTCACTTTCAGGCACTACATGTATTTCTTTACCTACTTAACATCTTCTACATCACACTGGGATTTTTATATTTGGTAATACATGTTTTTATCAATCAAGTCTGGAATAAAGAAAATGAAACCTAATGTAATTTTGAATCCTGTCCAGTGGCAGCCTTAGCTTCACTGTGTCTGGTGGAGTTGGGCCTATTCAGGGTGCTGTCAGCCTCACTTCTGCTATAACTGCCTTACAAAATACTTCCAAACATTTCCTCCTGCCCCCCCACCTCTTTGGAACAGGTCAGATTGCACCAGGTATCATATCTTTTTAGAAAACATTTCTCAGGAATGAGATCACCCCTTCCATCCCCACAATGTCAATGTATGCAAGCTGCATACTGACTACACACTCAATAATGCGCACTTTGTGTACTTTTGTGAAACAAAATGCAATGGTTCAGTGCTAGCTGTACCTTTGACCCCTTATTTTTACCTATTTCAGCAGTTATGGTTCAGTGAAACAGTTTTGGTTACATGGAAAAGCACGCAAATATTTTCCAGTCTTTCCTCCTTCCTTTAAACTGGTTACAGTACAAGGCTCCTTGCAGACTACTATCAATGCAATATTCTGGTTTAAAATATTTGTTAAATATTGGCAGATTGGCATGTCCCAGAATATAAAAGATGTATGTAGGGAGCTAGATGACATCTGTGTCTGATTTTTGGTAAAGAGTGTAGCAAAACTTTGGGCCAAACCCGATCCTAGAATGTAATAATCAGTATCTGCATAGAATTTTAATTTTTCAGAGCACTTCAAACCAAATATGAATTGCTCAATGCATGGTAATGTCAGGCATGAAAAGTGATGATCAAAACTAAACCACAATACTATGAGAGTCTAGAGAAAATCTACCAGTTCAGTCTACCTAGGTCTACTGCACCAGTACAGTTGAGTACTTGTATCTGTACAGCACAAGGAAACTCCCACGTTCAGACAGGGACCCTGAAATTGGAGCCTTGATCTGGTTTCATTCACTGCCTTTTAGTTCCCATCTCAGCCAGTTTTTTCTTGCTTTCTCTTCCTTTTCCTATGACAAAGTGCAAATAAGAGAAATTTCCTCTCCGGTGGTTTTAGGCATAGAATATCTAATTTACTTCTTTATTCTGTTGGCTATTTTTGCATCTATCTTTGACTTTCTGAATACTTTAAAATGGGTGGCCAGCCTCCAGCACAAGCGCCACAATTGGCACAGAAGTCTATGCATGTGACACATGGTAGAATATGGAGGAGGCAGGCAGCACAGAGGCAGATAGGGCAGGAAGCAGAAAGCAGGGCAGCAGATCAGGCAGGGGAGCACAGGGTAGGCAATAGAAAGCAGAGCAGCAGATCAGGTAAAGGAAGGGAATTGGAGTGGCACAGAGGGAGGGTATGAAGCTAATTTTTGGCATGCCTGCCAAAATAGTTGGCCTCCACTGCTTTAAAACAATGTTTAAACCATAAAAGTAAGATTCTGCTTAGTCACTTTTTCATTGTCTAATGATAATTTCTGAACTTTTTCCTAAAATAATACCCGAAATAAAAAAAAAATCATTAGAAAGACTGCAAAATAACACTTTGCTAGTATCTTTTATTCAAGGATCTTACAGTACTTTACAAGCATTAATCAATTTAGCCTTACAACACCATTATGAAGTAGGTAATTATTATTTATATCCATGAGTAAGCTGAATCCCAGAGAGGTTAAATGGCTCACTTGAGTCCGCATATTAGTCAGTGGGGATCTAGAAATAGAATTTAAGACTCTTCCCGCCTACTGTTTTAACCACAAGACAGTAGCCCCTCACAAGGGGTGCAATCAAAGATGAGTAAATGGTAGGTAAAATTCACAGATTTGGAATTGTGATTCAGCATAAGTACATCCATACCTATTTTTGTTTTTCTTTGCACATATTCATGCAGTCAGAAGCTGGCCTAAACTTCGGAAAAGTTTCCTTTATTTGTGTGAACATGGGTTTTTATATATTCAGGTTATGCCTGGTATTTAGACGTCTGGATCTAAATCAGAGAAAGATTCGATTTTTTTTTTTACAAATAGTCATCCCCAATTGTTTAATTAAAACAACCTGGCTTAGAGTTAAAAGTGAACTGAAATGCTTTTTAAAGAGATTAATAGAAAAAATGTTTATAATCCAAGGCCATTAACAGAATGCATGTGTGGACTTCAATATATCATGGAACAGCATTTAAAAAACCCCCAAGATTTGGACTCAAAATGATAGTACCAGAGTCAGACTGACATTTTTGTGTAGAGCTGTACTTGCACAGTTGTACATTTTCTATCTAGTTTCTAGTTGATACATATTTTACCTTGGAGATCTAAAGCAAGAAACTGAAGCTATTTTTGTATTTGTTTGAAAGGCAGTTGTAAAGTCAGTGATGTTATGCTCTGATTGCCAGATGAGAGAGTTAAGTAAATAATAAGATTTGAGAAGTATATTGTATTTACATATACCTGATCAGTTATGGACAAAGAGGAGCAATAGCAAACTTATTTTGTGTTGCAAAGGGCATTATTGACACACAAAGTAAAGTGACTCATTACATACTGTAAATGAATGTGTACATTGAGAGTATTATGGATTAGCCTCACATATAAGTCATATAGCATTGTTGGTTTAAAGTTGTTAGATTAATTGGCAATGTTATTAACCTTTGTCATTATATTATCAAACTCTTTATATATAATGATACCAGGGACCTAAATGTAACAGGAGTCTAGTCACTTATATCATGGGTAGTATTGTTGCCTTTGAAGATGAGGAGTGTATGTATTATTACTCCTACATTAATTAAACAAGATTTGCCCCCAGATAATAGAAGAAAACAGTATTAGCAACTAACATTTTGGTAGCATTCATGAATTTCAAGAATGTAAGTAAGCAGTGGACTGCCAGGCTTTGGGGACAGGTAGTAGGATAAAGGCTGTGGACACCTGTAACATTAAACCATTTTAAAAGAGAAGGGGAGCTTGCAGCTCAGCAACATATATCAGTTGGACCAATGGAACTGTTTCATCTGTCTACTGCTACAGCTGGATAAGGCAGCTAAGCCACTGTGGCCACCTGTACACTTGATGAAATTGCCCTATTTAGCTGTTCAGTTGCCCTTTTACCGCAGTATAATTGTGTCACACATTACACGTGCAGCAGCGTATTGCAATTTAATTTCATCACACGGTATACATGCTGGAGTGTATTGCAATGTAATGACTTTGTTACATAGCAAATGAAAACACATCCTGATCTATTGCCTAACAAATTGCAGTGATACATCCATCCCCGAGCCCACCTGGGCTTCCAGCTCCCCACACCCCATCCCCGCCTCCTTCAGCCACTAGCACACCCAGCTTGTCCCTGGGGCAGCACAAGGTGGTGGCAGGAGGACAGCTGAGTATACTGGCAGCTGGAGAAGGTGGCAGGGATGGTACACAGGGTGCTGGAAGCTTGGGGAAAATGGGGCTTGGTGAGCTTCCAGTGTCCTATGCACCATTCCTACTGCCTTTTCCAGCTGCCACACACCCAGCCACCCGCCTGCTATTTTCCCACTCTGGCCCAGAGGCAAGCTAGCCCATTCACAGGTGGTCCCAGATGGCGGGAAGGTGGCGTGGACAGTGCACAGGGTGCTGGAAGCTCCGGTAGGGAAGGAAAAACAAGCAGTGTTTTTTTTTTACTTTCCCAGCAGAACCTGGCCACGGCTGAGGCGTGAGCTGCCAGCAGCATCTGAGCTGCAGCGGGCCCCAGTTCTTCCCTCCGCGGTGGCGATGCCCCCTGGGTAGTAGGCTGGGTGCTGCTCCAGCTCAGAGCCAGCACCCAGCCCAATAGCAGCCCACCTGGATGGCCCTGGGGGCTGCTGCTGCTATGGAGGGAAGGACCAGGGCCCCCTGCAGCTCAGGGCCCACTGGCAGCTCAACTCCTGGCCATGGGCAGGCTCTGCCAGAAAAAAAAAGGAACAGGCCCCTCTCAGTAACAGTGACAGAAGCCCCTAAAATGAAATGGTGGGTTTGTAATCGTCATAATTAAAAATGTACCGTTTCAGTTTAAGGGAACTAAACCTTCCTCATGTGTACAAGTGGCCTGTAACTTTAAACCTAAATGAAACCGATTTAAAGTTAAAATGATTTAACTTCCACTTAACACAGAACAGAATAAACAGTAGGTCTGTATGAAGCTTCAGTCACTGATTCGATTCGGTGGAGATTCAGGCCAATTTGGCAGCTGAATGCCTGAATCTGAATCGAATCCAGAGACTCATTAATCTCTCCAAGTCAAATCGGAAACCTCCAATTTGATTCAGAGAGATTTGATGATTTGGCCATAGACACAGCTTTATATTTTTTTCCTACATACCTCAAGGTACCAGGCAGCTTGTGAACGCTGAGATGGTGGGGCAGATGGAGCATCCCACAGGAGCATTGGGGGGGGGGGCTCCCAGCACACTCGGCAGTGGACCCGGAAGTGGACAAGAAGCGCTTCTGGTTCACTTCCTGGTCTGCTGCCGAGTGCACAGTGGACACCCCGGCGCCCCGGCTCGGAGACTGGTGCCTCCTGTGTCTGGGGGGCATCCGGCATCCCCCTGCGGCCGATTGCTGTACTTCCAGTCCACTTCCAGGTCCACCACCAAGCATGCAGGGGCCCCCCCACGCTCCTGTGGGACGTTCCATCTGCCCCACCATCTCGGCGTTCACAAGCTGCACCTGGTACCTCGAGGTATATAGAAAAAGCATATAAAGCTGTGTCTACGGCTGAATCACTGATTCTCCGAATCAGAATCGAATCTTCAGATTCAGATTCGGCCGAATCGAATCAGGACAGTGATCCAAATCAGCAAACCGAATCGCTGTCCCCCGAATCAGGCCAA